CTAAAGAACTTATGACACATAGACATGAACCAAAGGGGGGAATGTGGGTGGGAGAAGGTGGGCAGAGGGGAGGGGAATGAAGGGGGGAAAATGGGACAACCGTAATAGCATAATCAATAAAATAATTTTAAAAAACCCACAGGGATTCCCCCCCTTAGATTTATAATTAAGTAAAACATCTTATTCTGCAGCTGCCATAGAAAATAGTATTAATATACCTTCTGTAGATCTTAAATAGGGCAAGGTATGTTTCTAATTTGTTACAAAGAAAGTTTACTTTTTTTAAAAATCCTCGACAGAGGATGTATCCACTATTCCAGAGGGCAAGGGAGAGAGAGAGAAAAAGGGAAGGGGGAAGGGAAGGAGTGGGGGGAGAGGGAGGGAGAGAGGGACATTGATTGTCCTGGTTCCTAGGTATGTCCTCTGACTGGAAATTGAACCCGTGACCTTTCTGTTTACTGAATAATGCTCCAAACAACCGAGCCACACTGGCCAGGGCAGGAGAGAGTTAACTTTAAAGAATCCTTATTAAATATTCTGAACCTGAAGTTCTGCCAGATGGGAAATTTAAGTGCAGCACCATTTTCTTCCTAATGTTGTATATAAATATAGAAGCAGATTATCTGCTTCTCCTCCAGAATTATATGATGGTTGGTTGAACATATGCCAACATTCTTCATAACTTACATGGCTTCAGCTGTACATATTTTGTATCTCCCAGTTTATGCTTTTTAGGGGTATTTAAGCTAATATAGTCAAAGATACAGATTTCACTAATTTTTAAAAAAAACTATCTTAGATAATTTCCCCTAAAAAAATTTACAGAACTAAACACTGATTCTCTTCCATCACATATAAAATACATTGTTTCAAAATTTTATTAAAGGTAATTTAATTCAAATGAGTACTTCAAAATTACTAGTTTCTCATCCATTTTAATAGCTTGTCCTCCCTTCAAAAACACCAGAGTTAAAATCAGCATTCTTTACTACCAACCCAACATAACTGCTATTCTTTCTAAATTACTAAAGTCAATTGACATTTTTAGTTAAAAAAAAAATCCTTGTTTACCATGCAGAAATGAGTACTATTTGGCAAGTATACATGAGAATTAGTTATTTTTTTTCTTTGTGCACTAAGACAATGTATTAATACTTTTTTTGAGAACTAGTTCTTGAACCTGGATCATGCTAAAGATGAATCACTTTATAATATTTTCTGTGGAACCAAAGTTTTTATGTTATAGGCAAGAAAAGTGGTCCAAGGGCAACTAAATTAATTTAGAAGGCAAAGGAGCAAAAATACTATAAAGTAAATCTAAACTCTAAAAATCTAAAAAATAATACATTATTTGACCTTAAAATTTCTCAGTGGGAAAGCTTTCTGTAGAACCATTCTCCTCACTGTTATAAGTTAAAGAATGGAGACCAGAAAGAGTCATTTGTGGTGCTGAAGAGTGAGAACCTCGGTTGCTATCTGAAAGCTCAACAGGGTAAAAAGAAACTAGTTTTTACACTATGCAAAATGTAATCTTCCCATACAAAAGGGAACAATACAGTACAATACAAGGGTGATACTATATCCATACACTCATCCATTTAATACCTTTGCCATACCAAATATATAACAGCCCTATGGTAGGCACTTGAGGATATACATTTATACATTCATTTCATAGTCAACACATTTATTCACTACTTACTACATAAGACTGGAGCTAAAGCAATGAAAAAAAAAACAGATAAGATCCTTCCCTTTTAGAACTCATTTTCTAGTGAGGAGACAGAAATAAGCAAATATATAATAAATGTGATAATATGAAAAAGAAAGCAGATTAAGGGGGAAAGGAAAGGGATGAAGGACACTATTTTAGAAAGGTCAAGGCCTCTTTGAGGTGATAATATTGGAAGTGAGCCAGTGGAAACCTGGGGGAAGAAGAGCAAATTAGGCAAAAGGAACAGGTGGAGAGCCTTGAGACAAAGTAGCACAATCACTGTGTCAAAGGTACAGTAAGAGGGCCAGTGCAGTGGAAATTGAATGAGTGAAGGGTAAAATGATATAAAATGAAACCGGAAGCCAGACCACTACAATCTTTTAGAACATTGTAAGAATTTAGATATTATTCTAAAAATGAAAAGAAGCCTCCAGAGTAGGCATAATCAAAGTTATATTTTTAAAGGATCATTAAAAAAAAAAAGACAGCAAGAATAGAAACAGGGATGAAATAGGGAGAGAAGTAGACTATTTTTGTGTCTAGGAGAGAGATGACAGATAATTCTGGATATATTTCATAAGTAGACCTGACAGGATTTGCTGGTGCATTCGATGTTGAATATTTTAAAAAGAAAGAAGTCAAGAATAACTCAGAAGTCTTTGGACAGAGCAACTGGATGACTAGAGGTAGCATTCACTCAGATGAAGAAACCCTAGGAGAAGAAAGGAGCAGATTGTGTGCATGTGAGTCTGGGAAAGGGGTAGAATTCAAGAATTCTGTTTTGGACAGGATAAATGTTAAGTAGGCAGCTAAATATGTGCTTCAGGGAAAAGAGGAAAAGTCTGAGCAGGAGACATAAATTCAGTAGTCACCAGTATATAGATAATATTTAAAGCCAAGTGTCCTGGCTGACGTAGCTCAGTGGATTGAGCGCGGGCTGCGAACCAAAGTGTCGAAGGTTTGATTCCCAGTTCCCGAAGGTTCGATTACATGCCTGGTTGCAGGCCATGGCCCCCAGCAACCACACATTGATTTTTCTCCCTCTCTCTCTATCTCCCTCCCTTCCCTCTCTAAAAATAAATAAATAAAATATTTTTTAAAAATTTCTTTAAAAAAAAAAGCCAAGAGACTAGATGGACATAGATGCCTTTTTATAGTTATGTGACCATTTCTTTGTATCAGTGGTATTTATATTTTTGTTTGTGTACCACCTAAAATTCTTTTGAAAATTACATATATCTTTAGACATTTTTAAGTTGATATATAAAATTTAAGTTTAAATGATTTTTTAAAAATGTACTTTTAAACATATTGTAAATTTTGACATTTAAAAAGAACTCTTGCACCTTTCTGTTACATCTAGTGAGTCTAAAAACACAGTAATTTGAAACTTATAATTCACATAAGGAAGCAAAAAACAACCAATCAGAACAACAAGAAGGTCCTGGCTGGTGTGGCTCAGTGGGTTTAGTGCAGGCTTGTGACTGAAAGGTCACTGGTTCAATTCCCAGTCAAGGCACAAGCCTGGGCTGCAGGCCAGGTACCCAGCTATGGCAACTGATCAGTGTTTCTCTCTTATTCTTTCTCCCTTCCTTCCCTTCTTTCTGAAAATAATTTAAAACAACAAGATGAAAAAAGAATCCAAAAAAAATGAGGAGAATATAAGTAGCCTCTGTGACAACTTAAAAGAGGTCCAACATTCACATAATAGGGGGTACCACGAGAAGACAAACAGCAAGAAATTGGAAATCTATTTGAAAAGATAATGAAAGAAAACTTCCCTAATTTTGTGAAGGAAATAGACATATAAGTCCAGGGAAGCACAGAGAGTCCCAAACCAGATAGATGCAAAGAGGCCCACTCCAAGACACATCATAGTTAAAATGCCAAAGATTAAAGATAAAGAGAGAATCTTAAAAGCAGCAAGAGAAAAGAAGTTAGTTACCTACAGGGGATTTCCCATAAGACTGTCAGCTGATTTCTCAAAAGAAACTTTGCAGGCTAGAAGGGATTGGCAAGAAATACTCAAAGTCATGAAAAGGGGGACCTACAGCCAAGACTGTTGTACCTAGCAAAGATATCATTTAGAATTGAAGGGCAGATAAAGAGCTTCCCAGATAAGAAAAAACTAAAGGACTTAGTCATCACCAAACCATCATTACATGAAATGTTAAAGGGACTTATTTAAGAAAATGTAGATCAAAACTATGAACAATAGAATGGCAAAAATACTTATCAACAATTGAATCTAAAAAACAAACTAAACAAACAAGAACAGAGACAGAATCATGCATACAGACAACGTTTTGATGGCTGCCAGATGAGAGGGGTGTGGGGGAGTAGGTGAAGAAGTGAGGGGATTAAGAAGTACAAATAGGTAGTTACAGCATAGCCATGGGGATGTAAAGTACAGTATAGGAAATGGAGTAGCCAAAGATCTTATACACATGACCCACGGACATGAACAGTGGTGGGGGGATTGCCTGAGGGAATAGAGAGTACTGGGTTGAGGGGGACAAAAAGGGGAAAATCAGGACAACTATAATAGCATAATCAACAAAATATAATTAAAATAAATGAAGTACTGATAGATGAACACTGAAAACATAAAGCCAAAGTAAAATAAGCCACTGATTGTATGGTCTGTTCACATGAAATGTCCAGAATAGACAAATGCAGAGAAACATAAAGCAGATTAGTGGTTGTTAGGGGCTTGGAGAGGGGTAAATGAGGAGTTATTGCTCATTGATACCAAATTTCTTTTAGGGTGATAAAAATTTTCTGGAGTTAGAGTGTGGTGACAGTTGCAGAACTCTATAAATATGGTTTAAAAACAAACACGGAATTGTACACTTTATTATTTTTAAGATTTTTAAATTTTATTTATTTTTAGAGAGAGGGATGGGAGGAAGAAAGAAAGGGAGAGAAACATCAATAGGTTGTCTCTTGCATGTGCCCCAACCAGGGACTAGGCCCACAACCCAGGTATGTGCCTTGACCGGGAATCAAACCAGCAACCTGACACTCAATAACTGAATCACGCCTGTCATGACTGAATTGTACACTTTAGAAGGATGGAGTTTATAAAACGTGATAACTCAATGAAGTTTTTTTACAAAGTCAAAAACACATACTTCTATCTCTTAGAGCCTTAACCCACTATTTTACTTTTTATTGACTTTTTAATATTGATTCTAATTATAAAAATAATACATCTGGGTTAAAGAAACTCTTAAATAAAGAAAAGCAGAAAAAAAAAAACAATTTAAATCACCACAAATCTTACCATTCAATATTAAGATTTCTATTTTCTTTTCACAGGGTGTTACCAGAAAGAAGACCTGGCCCTGAGCAGGCCTGCCTGGGGCCAGTGGGTAGTGTGGGTTCTTGACTTTCTGTAGGAAAAATTTCACAATATGAGTCCAAGTGATCTTTTAGAGGATGTTTATTAAATCTGGGAACAGTAAACAAGGAAGGGCCTAGAACAGAAGAAGCAACAAGTGAAGGACTATGTGGGGAAATGAGCCTCAACTGGGCTGCTTTGGCTCTCTAAGAAGTTGGAGAAAGGGGGCCGTGGGGATAGGGTCAGGGAGTTAAACCATGAGGAGCTGCCACTGCCCATTGCTCCCTGGCTCTTGCAAGACTCATGGGTCCCTCAGAATTTAGGAGATGCATGCCTGTGGGTGAAGAGGGAGAAGGCAAAGGCATGGGCATGCTCCAGGGAGGGAGAGCACACTGGCACCTTCATTTAGAGGGCTTTAAAGACTGGGGGTTTAGTGGCAATCTTGGGAGGATCTCAGTAGGATATTCCTCTGCTTTATGCTGAAGTGCCAAATGAGACTTGCTCCCCTGATTTCATCTGTCCTTGGGTGTGGTTGGCAAATGGCGTAAATTAAATTTCTGCTCTCTATCTTCCTGAGTAGTGTGATTTAAACTTATTTACCCTCTGGTTGGGGAAGTGCAAACCATTTACTCTTGTGTCCTTCATTTAAGGAAGATAGCATTTACTAGCTGGCTTCAAACTGCTTGTTAACTATCTGTCTCATTTTCCTTATTATACTTGCCCCCACTTACTGGCCTGTCTCAATTCCAAGCTAATATTGATTCCCATTCATAAATTAAGCTCAACAAAGATAATCAAGAATCTAAAGTCATCACTATTAACTGACAAATTTAGAATTGAATTTAACACTATCTAAAATTAAAGTCCATTTTCTTTCCCCTATACTATCTGAAGAAAAACAGAACAAAGTGGCATATATAAATTTATAACACTGCAATAAATAGAAGGCCAAATATTTGAAATTTTTTGAGGGTTGATAAGTTGTTGCTATTTGTTATGTCTTTCCTTGTAGAAGTGGTTAAAAGTTCACAAGATACTATGAAACTATCAACCAATGTTACCGACAGCTTAGAACAGTAACAAATGGTCATGATATTAAGTAGCAAAGATGGAAGGGGCTCAAATTAGCAACACAAGATTTCCCACTACATCAAAGATTCAAAGCAAGTAGTTACAGGCCCTAAAACAATCCAAGAAAAGAAAAACCTATGTATAAGTTAAAATGTTAAGATGCCGGGTAATACTGTGTATATATTTCAGCAAGTTAACAACTACTGTTCAGTTGTTAAACAGAGACAAATTGTATACATCCATGAATAATATAAACATATAGTCCCATGCAAGTTTAGTATGGGTAAAAAAGGAAAAAATGCCAGCCTTTCCTCTCAGGTACTGAAAGGTAGAAAAAATTAATTAACTTAGCATTATTCAATATTTTTCTGGTATAAAGATACCAAACTAGGTTATATTTAAACATCCCTTTGGCTCTACTATTTTCTGAAATCTGAGGTATCATCAGGGACCTAAAATTAATTAATTAATTAATTAATTAATTAATTAAAAAAGAAAAGCTCGAGCTGTGGCTGGATAGCTCAGCTGGTTAGAGCATTGCTCCATATACCAAAAAGGTTGCGTGTTCAATTCCTGATCAAGGCATACACCTAGGTTGCAGGTTCAATACCTGGCTATGGCACATATGGGAAGCAAACTATCAATGTTTCCATTTCTCTCTCTCTCTCTCTCAAATCAATAAAAAACATCAAATACTTCCTTATTCACAACAAGGGAATTCACAAATAACAAGGCTAGCAATGCTAATAGTTTTAAGAAGGTATCTGGGGAGACACCTAGGCCCACAGAAGCAAATCCCTGCAGTGAAAGCTCTAAGGCTCTGCAGAGATCTAGGAGGGAGGTGCCTGCTTTCAAATGGCTTTCATCCAGAGCAGACAGCAAAATGGAGTTCAGCTAGGTGGTTCCCTAACATTCACACTTCCAGTGAAGACAAGCTTAATGACAAGCATTCCTTGGAGGTATTGTGGGTTCAGTTCCAGACTCCTGCAATAAGGCTAGTTGTAATCTTTTTACTGGTGGACAGCCTTGCCTTCAATTTGTAAAAAGTGTAGTATCTGTGATGCACAACAAAGCAAAGCACATAAAATGTACGTGCATTTTCCAACTCCTTTTGAGAATAAGTGGGACAAATAAATTTTCAAAGAAATGTGTGTGGCAACCTTAAACTAATAGGATATTATATGTCAAGAATAAGTGAGAAAATATTCAAATATATTCTTTTCCCCTATACCAGTTTGGAAAGTGTGTGCAAATTTGGGGTTTTGACAGGACTGATAAAATATTTATGAGAAATAAATAAGCACCTCTTTGTTTGCATTCCAGGTTCATAGGAATATGAATGAAAAAACATATATCCTTACAAACTGCACACACATATTAACAGTGTACATTTTTTTTTGCATGATATGAAGGGTGAAAGCTTAAAAAAATCTGAATCAGGTAAAACTGAATATGAACTGTGAATTTTTACTGTTTTATGTTTATCTTTTTTGTTACTAATACACTATTACTGGGAGGATATTTTGAATAGCGTAGTAACAATAATAAATTTCTGCTATAACCATTTAAAAGCCACACTTTAACCCTAACTAACCTCCTTATGCATTTCCAAGGGTTAGCAATGGTCTTGAAATAGTCTGCTGAAAGGAGAGGGAGAAAAAAAATCTACTCTCTATAATCTGGGCCTCCTACCACTAAACTATAACCAACTGATCTATCTTGACACAACAGAACGCAGTTATTAATTATATAAAAAGTTTTACGAAACTAACAGAAGGAATCCCTACTTTCAAATATCCTTCTGTGTCAAATTCATCCCTACCCGTTTCCATCCTCACTTCTTCAGTTCAGCTACCACATTTGAAATGCGTGTTTAAACCTCCCTTTTTAAAAGTCCCTAGGGTTACCCTATAAAGTTGGTGGTTGAGATCCAAAAATGAGGCCCTTTTAACAGTTTGGATGTACCGTAATACTCTTGAATAACTGTCTTTTGCTCAACCTTTGGCACCTTTAGTTTAAAGAACAAGTCATTATAGTAAACCAAATAGAACTATTCTGTTTTCTAAACCTCGCGTACTCCACATTATCAGGGGTGTACAGTATGAATGCGCTGCTTTTAAAGAAACTGAGAAAAGGAAAAGGCAAAACTCACTGACAAATTGTGGCAACATGAAAATAATCAGCTTAGCTAACCGGACCAGAAGTTGCTGTATTTCATGGTGCTTCCTCTTTAAAACTGTATACACTTCTTAAGTCTAAGAGTTCGTCCAAATTAAGGCTAGCTTCCTCTCGCATTCCCAGGATGGTTTGTTTCCGAACCCAGCCCGCCCTTTGCCCAGGCCCCGGCAGCCATCACCGCAGACTGCAGCACCCGAGCTCGCGGCCCGCAGGCGCGGAGGCCCCCGCCCCTCTGGGCCGGCGCGGGGAGGGGGCTCCGGGCTTGGAGCCCGCCTCTGCGGCGGCCGAGCCCGGCAACGAGTGGGCGCGCCGGGCCGGAGGAGGGGCCCGCGGCCGCGGCACCGCCTGTGCCCGCCGCCCCTCCCCGAACCGCTACTTAAGCGACTCTGGCACCTCCCCCGCCTTAGTGCGTTACTTACCTCGACTCTTAGCTTGTCGGGGACAGTAACCGGGACCCGCTGTCTTCTCCTGCTGCTTGCGCCTTCTAACCTGCAGCCATGGTGAGTGGGCCGCGTGCGACGCCGCCCTCGCTAGGGATCTCGGAGGGCCTCTAACTACAGAGCGCTGGGACCAGCGCTGTCTATTTGGAGGGCAAAAAATGAGGCGAGAGCCAAGGGTGGGTATAGATGGATTCCGGTTTGTGGAGAAAAGCTGGTGCCCGGAAAGGGGGGCCCCCACCTCTTCTTCTTGGACTCTGGTAGGGGATGGTGGCGTGCCGGTTCCCTCCACCGTGGTTAGGGCTCTTATTTAGCCCTTGGACCCCGGATGCCGCGCGCTAAGACCCTGCAGGCTTTTCCCGCGCGTTCCCATCCCCCTTTCCTTCCACTGCCTTTGGCGGGCACGCGCGCGCTCTCCCCGCCCTCACTTCCTCCTCGGCGCGAAAAGCAGAGGCGGGAAGGAACCTGACAAAAGCGCACGCGCGACCGTTACCTTCCCGCCGGGGAGCGGCGGGAGACAGCCACTGCAGTCTGCGCGTGCGCGCTAGGGCGCTGCGGGTCTGTGACTGGAGAGTGTCTCCTGTTACCTGGAGTTTCTGTTTAAAGATGAAAAGAAGATGAACGTAAAGGAAGGCACCTTGTCAGTGTGTTGCACAATGCCAGCGTATTAGAAATATTACCCCCCAACAACCCGTAGAGACCATCTGTCCCTCTGTGGCCTCTCTGCTACGTCAGGCATGCTTGTGAGAACAGGTGGTGGTGGTGGTGAGGGATTTTGAGGGAAGGGAAATACTATCTTGGTCCAGATATGTGCTGCGGATAATCCCCTGAAGTGCCTTAACAGATGCGGAGGTGCTTGGTTGAGCCCAACTCCTGTGGGGAGCTTAGGATGGTTGGCCATGGCAGTGCTTCTGCCTACGTGGCTGGGCCTGTTACGTGTCTGCAGCTGCGCGGTCCCGCTGACCGCAGCGGGCGCGGTCACGCACACCCAGAATTGCTCATTCATCCTGTGCCGCAGAGCCCTGCCCCTCGGGGGGGGCCGGTGGCCAGACACTTCCTGTTCCCTGCTCTGGACACGTGCTTCCTATACTGGGAGCTGCCCGGAAGTCTTAGCACCTAGTCTGGAATAGTATTCTGGGGCCTGACTGCTGGACGAATGGCCTCCTTCCTGTCTTGGTCCTTCAAAGGAGGAAGCTGTAACTAAAGTCTTTACTTGGTTTGGAAAGAGGTCTTCCTAAATTAGAGGGGGAAAGGAAATTCATTTAAAGCAATGTGGGTAAAAAATATATAACAGTAGCCCCCTAGAAAAGTTTACATTTTAATTCATCTTAAGAGGCAATCTGTAAAATTTAAAATTTCATACGTATATTGTTCTTCACATTCATTACCAGATTGCTTTCATCCTTATAATTTTTTTTTTCTTTTCCACAGCGTGAGTGCATCTCCATCCACGTTGGGCAGGCTGGTGTCCAGATCGGCAATGCCTGCTGGGAGCTCTACTGCCTGGAACATGGCATCCAGCCCGATGGCCAGATGCCAAGTGACAAGACCATTGGCGGGGGAGATGACTCCTTCAACACCTTCTTCAGTGAGACAGGCGCTGGCAAGCATGTGCCCAGGGCAGTGTTTGTAGACCTGGAACCCACAGTCATTGGTGAGTTGCCCTCAGTGACCCAAGTGAGATCCCAGGGGTCTGGGGCAGGAGGTGTGTCCTGGGGCCTCTGTGGCTCCAGGCTCTGGGCTCCCTGGGCTCCAGGGGGTTTGTGGGGGGTTGTTAGTGATGGGTGGCTGCTTTGTTTCCCTCCTCCAGATGAAGTTCGCACTGGTACCTACCGCCAGCTCTTCCACCCTGAGCAGCTGATCACAGGCAAGGAAGATGCTGCCAATAACTATGCCCGTGGGCACTACACCATTGGCAAGGAGATCATTGACCTCGTCCTGGACCGAATTCGGAAACTGGTAAATACTACATTTGAGTCTATATATTTACATGAACCGACGTCACCCTGGTGAATTCAATTTTTAAAAAGATGCCAGAATATACATGAGTTAAGATAATGAATAAAATCATCAACAAGTAAACATTCAAATGGGTTGAGGGGGTTCTGTGGCAAATTAAGTGGAAAGCCAAACTGTAGCATTCATTCTTTGGTGCATGCCAAATGTGGGATACACTGCTCACTGTGTTAATTGGAGTCCCCAAGTTATGGGACTCTTTTGCCACTCTTCATGCTTACATCAATCTCTTATGTTCACGATTTAAAGAAATAGAAATTCTACATAAGATAAGTATCCTGGCATTAGAGAATTACATTTTCTTTTTCCTTTCTCTACAGGCCGACCAGTGCACAGGTCTTCAGGGCTTCTTGGTTTTCCACAGCTTTGGTGGGGGAACCGGCTCTGGGTTCACCTCCCTGCTGATGGAGCGTCTCTCTGTCGATTATGGCAAGAAGTCCAAGCTGGAGTTCTCCATTTACCCAGCCCCCCAGGTTTCCACAGCTGTAGTGGAGCCCTACAACTCCATCCTCACCACCCACACCACCCTGGAGCACTCTGATTGTGCCTTCATGGTTGACAACGAGGCCATCTATGACATCTGTCGTAGAAACCTCGATATTGAGCGCCCAACCTACACTAACCTTAACCGCCTTATCAGCCAGATTGTGTCCTCCATCACTGCTTCCCTCAGGTTTGATGGAGCCCTGAATGTGGATCTGACCGAATTCCAGACCAACCTGGTGCCCTATCCCCGCATCCACTTCCCTCTGGCTACATACGCCCCTGTCATCTCTGCTGAGAAAGCCTACCATGAACAGCTTTCTGTAGCAGAGATCACCAATGCATGCTTTGAGCCAGCAAACCAGATGGTGAAATGTGACCCTCGCCACGGTAAATACATGGCTTGCTGCCTGTTGTACCGTGGTGACGTGGTTCCCAAAGATGTCAATGCTGCCATTGCCACCATCAAGACCAAGCGCAGCATCCAGTTTGTGGACTGGTGCCCCACTGGCTTCAAAGTCGGCATTAACTACCAGCCTCCCACTGTGGTGCCTGGTGGAGACCTGGCCAAAGTACAGCGAGCTGTGTGCATGCTGAGCAACACCACAGCTATTGCTGAGGCCTGGGCTCGCCTGGACCACAAATTTGACCTGATGTACGCCAAGCGTGCCTTTGTCCACTGGTACGTGGGTGAGGGCATGGAGGAAGGAGAGTTTTCTGAGGCCCGTGAGGACATGGCTGCCCTAGAGAAGGATTATGAGGAGGTTGGTGTGGATTCTGTTGAAGGAGAGGGTGAGGAAGAAGGAGAGGAATACTAATTACCATTCCTTTTCATCCTGCAACATGTCATACTCAGAATTTCAGGTTCAGCAGCTGCTCTCTGATTAGATTTTCTTTGCTTTTACCTGTAATCATGTCTGTCTTTTTCATGTATACCTGTAAGATTGCTCATATTTCAAAGTAAAGGCATTGAGAAAGAAAAGTTTGGCTTTGGTCTTTGTTCTACACTGATTTCTCTACACTTGGAGGATAGGGTGTCTGCAACAGGGTGGTAATATCCAGGAACCCACATGTGTCTAGCTGCTTCTCAGGAGAAAAGGGAGCACATAGCTCTGGAAAAGCAGAGCATGATTCTGTTGTACTGAAAGTCATTCGGCTAATCTAGTTCCTGAAATCAGATAATTACTCAAGATTTAGGAACAGTAAGTACAGATACACCTGGTCTTACTGCATTTCAGAAACATTGTTTAAATTGAACATAAGACCATCCAGCCAAAAAACTTCAATTCCCTTGTGGTTTGTTATGATCTGGACCCAAGCCCACAATATCTCTAAGGTATGCCTGGCGATCTGCAAATGTGACTGCTGGTAAACTGTGCATTTGTTAAGAGTACTGCTCTACTACAGAGGGTTAAGTGGGAACATTTCTAAAGGATAAGAGCTTACATTATTCCAAGTATATCATTTGTCTACATCCAAAGGAATCGAGATACATAGAGGATTTAAACTAAGAGAAAATGTTTCAAATTCAGAAAGCATTGGGATAATTAAGTTTTGAAAATGTTGATGGAATAAACTTGTCCCACTCTGTATTAACAAAATAATTGTTCTAGCTTCTACCCTGGCTGGCATAGCTCAGTGGATTGAGCGCGGGCTGCAAACCAAAGTGTCGCAGGTTTGATTCCCAGTCAGGGCACATGCCTGGGTTGCAGGCCACGGCCCCCAGCAACTGTACATTGATGTTTCTCTCTCCCTCCCCTCTCTAAAAATAGTCTTTTTTAAAAATCGTCATAACTTCTGAAAGAAATTTGATTTGGCAGAGATTTGAGAGAGTTCTGTTGGGGGACACTGCAGGCCTAGCATAGCCACACAAATGTGGCCACCACAGTCCACAGACGAAGGTAATTGCCAGTGCTTTAAATTGGATTAATAGCCAAATGGGAATTAACTTTTTTAGTTGATGCCCATCTCCCAAAGGGAAGATAATTTTGAGAGATATTTGAAGACCCTTTGAAATGTTCCTTTTATTTTTGTAAAATGAGGGTAAGAGAGCTAGGCCAGAACCTGGAAAGCAGCAACAAACCAGTGCAGAAAAGAGCTTGCTTTTCAGGCAAGCAATACTCAATGCAGAGGGTGCCATGATGTTTTTTCAGAGTTATGAGGCACAAAGCAGGGACAGGATTAAGCCAGTGTTTAGACTGTAATGTTTTATTTTGGAGAGAGGGGGAACAAAGCTTTTTTTTTTTTTTAAAGAAAATTAGAGTAAGGCAAATGTTAAACTGACAAGCTTGGGTGGTAAGTACATAGGTGTTTGTGATCTATCTGTTACTGCAAAGCAAATTGACTGACAATTCTGTGGCTTAAAACAGCATATGGCCCTGGCCCGTGGTTCATTTGGTTGAACCAACACCAAGGTGGCGGACTCGATCCCCAGTCAGGGCATTTAAAGGAGTTAACTAGTGAATGAATGAATGAATGAATGGGTAGAACAAACTGATGTTGACTTCTCAAATCAATAAAGAAAAATTTAAAAACAGTATATGTGTATTACCTCATGTAATTTCTGAGGGTCAGGAATTCAGAAGTAGCTTAACTGGGTGGTCTGTCTTGGGGTTTATCATAAGACTGCAGTCTTCTGATGCTTGATGGGCTGGAGGACTCACTTCCAAGGTGGTTCACTCACATACCTGACAGGTTAGTGCTGGTTGTTTGCTGGCAGCCTTAGTTCTTCACCTTGATCTCTCAAAAGGGATCCTCGAGTGTCCTAATGACATGGCAGCAGGCTTCCCCCAGAGTGAGTGATCCAAGAGATGGCAAGTTAGAAACCATGTCTTATGACATAACCTTAAAAGTTGCACTGTCATTTTACCAGTATTCTGTATATTACACATCAGTACTATTGTGCGAGGAAACTGCAATAACAGGAGGTAGGAATCAGTGGGAGTTTATAATTTTTATGTTGCCTAGAACAACATGATAGTTACAATCTCCTATTTTCTGTAGGCTTCAAATATTTTATTTTTTAAAAGGAGGGAAACCTGTAATTTAGAAAAGTTTTTCCATTTTCTACAGTTCAAACTCGAATTTCAGTATTTTAAAATATATTTTACTGATTATGCTATTACAGTTGTCCCAATTTTCCCCCTTTGTCCCCTTCCATCTGGTACCCCCCATTCCCTCTACTATTTCCCCTTGCCCCTTGGCTCATGTCCACGGGTCATGCATATAAGTTCTTTGGCTTCTTCATTTCCTAGACTCTTCTTACCATCCTCCTGTCTATTCTGTACCTACCAATTTATACTTCTTAATCCCTGTACCTTTTCCCCCATTCTCTCTTCTCCCTCTAAACTCCCCCTAAAAGATCTCCATATCTATGGCTCTATTTCTGTTCTGCTTGTTTACTTAGTTTGTTTTTTAGATTCAATTGTTGATAGTTGTGAATTTATTGCCATTTTAATGTTCATAGTTTTTATCATATTTTTCTTAAATAAGTCCCTTTAATATTTCATATAATGGTGGCTTGGTGATGATGAACTCCTTTAGCTTTACCTTGTCTGGGACACACTTTATCTGCCCTTCCATTCTAAATGATAGCTTTGCTGGATAGAGTGATCTAGGTTGTAAGTCCTTGATTTATATCACTTTGAACACTTCTTGATAGTCCCTTCTAGCCTGCAAAGTTTCTTTTGAGAAATCAGCTGACAGTCTTATGGGAACCTTTGCAGGTAACTCTGCTTTTCTCTTGCAGCTTTTAAGATTCCCTCTTTATCTTTAACCTTTGGCATTTAATTATGATGTGTCTTGGTATGGTCCTTTTTGTGTCCACCTGGTTTGGGACTCTCTGTGCTTCCTGGACTTGTATGTCTGTTTCCTTCACCAAATTAGGGAAGTTTTCTTTCATTATTTTTTGAAATAGAGTTCCAATTTCTTGCTCTTTCTCTTCTCCTTCCAGCACCCTTATGATTTAAATGTTGGTACATTTAAAGTTGTCCCAGAGGCTCCTTGGTCTATCCTTGGTTTTTAGGATTCATTTTTCTTCTTGCTGTTCTGATTGAATTTTTTTTCTCCCTTATGTTCCAAATAATTGATTTGATTCTTGCCTTCATCTACTCCACTGTGGATTCCCGGTAAATTTTTCTTTATTTCACTTAGTATAATCTTCATTTCTGCCTGAGTCTTCTTTATACTGTCGAAGTACCTAATGAGTTCCTTGAGCAACCTAATAACTAGTGGTTTGAACTCTGCATCTGATAGGGCCCTTGAAGAGGAGACTCCTGAGACTCTCAAAATTTCTTCCCCACCCCCTACTGATTTTTACAGCCAGAAGTTATGGGGACTTATCTTCCTGGCACTGGAACCCTGGTCTGGGTGGTCTGGTGTGGGGCTAGAATCCCTTGCTCCTGAAGTATTCCTCCCAATTTTTATCTACCACAAGTGGGTGTGGGACTACTCATTCCATGCCTCCATGCCTCTCCATGCATCTCCATGTCTCTGCCCCTCCTACCTGTCTGGATGAATGCAGCGTCTTTAATTCTTTGATTGTCAGTCTTTCATACAGCTCAATTTTCTGACAATTCTGGGTGACATTTGTTTTGTAGTATAGTTGTAATTTTGCCATGGTTGTGTGAGGAGGCAAAGTTTGTTTACCTGGAAGTCTCAAATTTCAGTATTTTTATTGCCTTGTGAGCTGTCCTTTACAATAGACACCTATCTACAATCCTGAGCTATCCTATCCCTTTTATACCTTAATTATTTGGTTCTTGATCAAAATAGTTGCTAAAATTCAGAATTTACTTCTGTCTCCTCTGTTCCCAAACATTTTTTATGTCAAGACAATGACTAGTAGTTGATTAGTAGTAATCAAAGCCTTTGGTGACATGAGATGCCAAGTGTGTGACATGGCAAGGATGGCCATAATGAAATGCTAAGACACCCAGGAAATGCCACCAAGCATTCCTTTAGGGGAGTACTAGGGTCTTATCATCTACATCTGTGCCCCAGCAGCAAGCACAGTGCCTGGTAATCCTTATGGCCCACATATTGCTCCCATGGAAGTAAAAATAAGTAATGATCATTTCCCTCTTAGGCCAGATTCTTTATTGTTCTAGTCAATGTGAACATTTAACCCTCGAGTTTTGTAAAACACTCACCTTCTTTCTAGGCCCAGGTCTCTTCAAGCACCTCCTAGAAGATGAGTCTCAGGGTGGCAAGTCCCAGGGAACAGAGAGAGACACTTGACTTCTTGTTCTGTTACTAGTCAGGCTGTCAACCTTCTGGCCCTATTTTCCCTTTAGTACTACAGACTTCCATCCTGCCTTTCTCAGAAGAGGATGGTAAATAGGGCAGTCAAATCTTGGAGGACTTATAAGCTTAGAGATGTAGGTCTGGGCTTGGGAGGTGAGGAGCAGGGCACCTCAAGCCAGGACATTACAGCTCTGCTCAGGGTTACCCTGAGCCATTGCCAATGGAGAATGAGAGTCATTTACTCAGAAAAGAAAAAAATATAAGTAAAAGCATAAGGAGGGCTTACTTAGAGATAGTGAGGATAATAATAATGATAAGTAACAGCAACACCTTCAGTTTACTACCCAACCACTTTTTTTTAAACACCAGAGCACTTAAATACTTCCACAACCCAGCATTCTTGGCCTCATTTTTTTTACAGAGGGCAGATTTTTAATTGGGATGGAAGAAGGGAAGTGATACCACAGCCCAGTATCCTGCTTTGTATCCTCCCTTAAATGTTGCCTGCCACAAGATCAGAGGCAATAGGGATCTTTAGGCCCTATGAAGGACCAGGGCTGTGATTTAAGGACATGCTCAGACTGAGGCTTGAGGGAGGAAAGAAAGAGATGCCATTTTCCCCTCCCAATTCCATCAAATTCCTGGCAAATTCCTTAATGCCCTGCAGATGGCACCACTGACAAGGAGTTCTCTGCCCAGAAGTGCTGAGCTCAGATTTGTGAACTCCGCCCTGGCTGT